ATAAAGGGGTGACTTGGTTACAACAGCAGCCAAGTTCTGCCTATCTTCAAATGGGGAACCATGTGCCAAGATTCAAAGGGTACTACCCAAAGTTTCCTACAGGAATAGTCTTGAGGTACTTTACTCCATTGTTTCAACCCCAAAGAATACCATGGGACAAGAACCAGAAGAAAAAAGGAAAGTGGAACGGACAAAAACCTGTAGGCTCACTGGAAGGAATCCTTTCTTTTTAAAAACAGAGGGTCAATATCCATCAAAATTTAGAATGCATATCCCTTGATATAGCAATTTCTGTTTAGAGATTTAACCTACTGATATACTCAGACATGTGCATGAAGATAGATGCCTCATCCCTGGCCAGTGTGACTCAGTGGTTAGAGTGTCAGCCCACACACCCAGGGTCACAGGCTTGATTCCTGGTCAAGGGTGTGTACCTGAGTTGCAGGTTGGATCCCCGCCCTGGTCGGAGTACATATGGAAGGCATCCAATCAATATGTCTCTCTCACATTGATGTTTCTCTCTCTCTCTCTCTCCTCCTCCCCTCCTCCCACCTCCCTCCCTTCCATTCTCTCTAAAAAAACAATGGAAAAAGTATCCTCGGGTGAGGATTAACAACAACAAAAAAACACACACACACAAAAATATAGATGTTCCAGGATATTTAACACAGCCATGGTTATAGTAGCAAAAGATTGGAAACAATACAAATGTCTTTCAATATGGCTCTGATTAAATAAATTATGGCACAAGCTCACAATGAAAAACAATTTGGCCATTAAACAGAATGAAATGGGTCTAGCTGAGCTGACATAAAACTACCTCGAAGATACATTGGTAAATAGGGGAGAAAAAAGAAGCTGCATAGAAACAAGTATAGGAGATTTTTTTTTAATGTATCCAAATGTGTGGTTGTGCTCACACAGCATACCTCTACCTCCTGGGAGTAGGGGGGTGGGATGTGATGGGAAACAGTTTTTACCTCTTTGGAAAGAAACAGGGATCAGGCATACTCTCACTGTTATATCTTTTAGTACTCCTATTTGAAGTCTTAACATGTGTGCATATGTAATTTTTAGGTAATTTTTTAACAAAAGGAAATATGCTGCCTTGCATGAAATCTACCAAGAAATAGAAAAGATTTCTGAAAAAATAGTAAAACTATTCAGATATACATGACAGCTCTAGAAAAAATGGAGAAGTACACCATTTTCTTGGGTGGTGTGATAAATTGAGTGATTATCCCCAGCTCTTTACTCCCTCCCTTTACAGAATTACACATCCTGTACCTTTGCAATCTTCCGTTTGGTGAGATCTCCCAGGGATATAAATCATTCCACTTGCAACATGGACTTCTTCAATAAATATGTAACCCCCAGAGGTAACCTCCACTGTAGGTGGACTGTTCTTCCTGACTCACTGATGTCAGTCATGGCCACGTGACTTACTATGGCCAGTAGTGGTAGTGGGTGCGATGTCAGCAGAGACTGTAAATGTGCCTCTGTGGTTTATCTTGATATCTTGCACTTGTGCCATCCACCATGAAAAGATCAAAACCTGGGGGGGCAGAATGAGGAGCTACATAGAGTAGATCTGGACCAAAACACAGCCTGGAATCAAGCCAAGCTAACCCAACAGAGCCCAGCAGAACTACAGCCTCCACGCAGACCTGTGAGTGAAAAAACAAAAACAAAAACATTCTTGTTGTGAGCAAATTTGGGGGGATGTATGTTATGCAGCATTATTGTAGCCATATCTGACTGATACATATGGGAAAACTAAATTGCTTCCTTTGGCTCTCTCCCACCTCCTCTAAGAAATTTTTCCTGATTAACCTCACCCCACACTAGACTGTGGTCTTTTCAATAAAAAGAGCTGTGTGTTGCCCTAGCTGGTTTGGTTCAAACCAGCTAGGATAGAGCATCAGCCTGCAGACTGAAGGATACCAGGTTCGATTCCAGTCAAGGGCACATGCCCAGGTGGTGGGCTCAATCCCCAGTAGGGGGTGTGAAGGAGGAAGACCATCAATGATTCTCTCTCATCAATGATGTTTCTCTCTCTCTCTCCCTCTCTCCCTTCTTCTCTGAAATCAATAAAAATATTTATTTAAAAAACTGTGTGTTATTCATCCCTGCATCCCTAGACTGCTGCATAATGCTCAGCACAGAATTTAAGGACTCAAAAATTTCTTCCCTGACCACTGTTTACTTATTTCAGATCATTAATCACAATCCATAATTATCCTACTATTTTGTCTTATCTCCCTCATTTGAATATAATCTCCCCAGAGTAAATGAATCAATAATTGGGAAAAAGTGAATCTATGACTTTTTCACTCTGATCTGCTTAAGTACTCAGACATCTGTTTTACCACGCCCTCCAAATTTCTCATCTGTCCTAAAAGGCCTTTCAAAAGCTGGCCCCAAACTGCTCCCAGTTCTATCACCCATTCTTTCCCCTTAGGCAATATCATAGAATTTTGCACTTTCCCACCCACTACCCACACTTTCCCCTTTTTCTGCAACATTATCCATAATGTTTCATCTGACAAGTTCCCTCTGACATGAATGCCTTCTCTGCCATTCCTGTTTGTCTAAATTCTCACCATCTGTATTATTTTGTATTAGGTTCCTCTATGAATAACTATACAAGATAAAACAACAGTGGCCTAAAGAAGATAAAAGCTTATTAATCTCTTTCTCTTAGGAAATTTAGAGGTAATCAGAATAAGATTGGACTCTTCCTGGAAGCGGCCAGCGGTGACCTCTGGAAATGGTTCGCTATTCACTTGACCCAGAAAATCCCACAAAATCATGCAAATCAAGAGACTCAAATCTTCGTGTTCCCTTGAAGAACGCTCATGAAACTGCCCGGCCCATCAAGGGTATGCATATCTGAAAAGCCACCAAATATCTGAGGTGTCACTGTAGAGAAGCAATGTGTGCCCCTCCATTATTACGATGGTGGAGTTGCTAAGTGTGCCCGGGCCAGACAGTGGAGCTGGATACAAAGTTGGCAGCCCAAAAAGTACTCAGTTTTTGCTGCACATGCTTAAGAATGCAAAGAGCAATGCTGAACTTCAGGGTTTAGACGTAGATTCTCTGGTCATGGAGCACATCCACGTTAACGAAGTTCCCAAGACGTGGTGCAGAACTTACAGAGCTTATGGGTGGAGTAACACACACAGGAGCGCGCCCTGCCACGTCAAGATGATCCTACTGAAAAAAAGCAGATTGTTCCTAAACCAGAAAAGGAGGTTGCAGAGGAGAAAAAGACATCCCAGAAGAAACTGAAGAAACAAAAATGTATGGCCAGGGGATAAAGTCAGCATAAAATTAACACTAATAAAATTATTTTAAAAATAAGTTGGAAAGGTAATCCATAGTTTCCACAAAACAAGATCCTCCTAGCCATGGGTTCCTTCCGATCCTAAACACACTTCCTGGTCCAGGATGGCTGCTGAAGTTCCATCTATTACATTCTCACCCCAGCTGTTAGGAAGGTAGGAAGATGGGGTGGGGAAAGCATGCCTCCTCCCTGT